GGAGTCAGTTCCGAATCATAGCGACCCTGTACAGGGTTTCTACTGGAGTAGAAAGACTCATCTTTCTCCAGTGGAACAGCTGGTAGTTTCGAACTGCTGACCTTACGGTTCGCAGCCCGATTCGTAAAGCTCTGGTAGCATAGTGGTTACGAATCGGGCTGTGAACCTTAAGGTCAGTGGTTCGAAACTACCAGCCGCTCCGCGGGAGAAAGATGAGGCTTTCTACTCCCGTAAAGATTTACACCCTCGGAAACCCTGTACAGGGTCGCTATGGGTAGGAACCAACTCGACGGCACTTAACAACAACAACAACATGCTGCCAGAGCTCCTTAACATTTTGGGTATACAGGACTAAATAAAATACAGGCAGTCTCCAAGTTATGAACAAGATCCATTCCTAAGTATAACTTTAAGTCGAATTTGTAGGTAAATTTGAATAGGTGCTTTTTGTTGTTCTTGATTGTTGTCAAGTTGGTTCTGACTCATAGCGACCCTAAATAGGCTTTCCAAGGATCAGCTAGTAAGTCTGAACCACTGACCTTGTTCAAACTGACTTTTCAGTCAAGTGCTGGTCCTACAGCGCCATATGGTCCTTATTTAGCCTGACTTTACTGCAAGAGGTTTGAAGCCTTTTCAGTGATTTAAAAGCTGCACATGCAGCAAATAAAGTCTGTGATTTGTTGAGTGTTGTATTGATTCAATTGTTTCACAGTGAGGACAAATTTATATACCATTAAAGAGCAGATCTGTGTTATTAAAATTAATTTCATCTGCTTCTTACATTTTATTTATTTACATTTTACAATTTAAATTCTAAATTATATATATGGATCACATATTTCTGTTGGGTAACACTCCTTTGTTATTGTTGTTAAGTGCTGTCAAATCGTTTCCGACCCATAGCGACCCAGCATAGGGTTTCCTAGGAGCGACTGGAAGGAGCTCTGGTAGCGTAGCGGTTACGAATCCGGCTATGAACCACAAGGTCAGTAGTTTGAAGCTACCAGCTGCTCCACGGGAGAAAGATGAGGCTTTCTACTCCCATAAGGATTTACAGCCTCAGAAAACCTGTTCAGGGTCGCTATGGGTCGGAAACGACTCGACTCAACTGCACTAAACAACAACTGCTACTGGTGAGCTTGAGCCACCAACTTTGCAGTCCAGCGCATTAACCCACAGCGCTACGCCAGGACTCCTTTAGAGAATGCTGAGAATTCTAAACTATAGGGCAAGCTTTTAAACTTCAAATAAATGAGAAATGCTTCAAATTGTTCATGGAAAAATGGAATTAAAAGATAATAGAGAGAGAGAGTGTGTGTGTGTGTGTGTGTGTGCATATATAACTGTGCTCTGGCGTTCAAAGCTGTGACCGTTTAGAAGCCGTGCTTATCCTACAGAGCCACCATAGCAACCCTGTATAGGGATAAATAAAAGCACTGTAGAGTTGGCAGTTCAAACCCACCAGTCACACCAAATAATTTTTAAACTATCTAAAGACTATTAAGGCTTGTTTAATTTTCTTTTTATTTTCCTGAAGAGGCAAGGATTTCTTATACAGCATGATTCTTGAAGAAACTGACTAGGAAGCAATAGTTATGAGTTTTAAATAATAAAGCACTTTTGGAGTCTTGACTTTTGAACTACTAAATTTACAGTGCTATTCAACACTTAAAATAATAATAATGGAATTTTTCCACAAACTTTTTGAAGCCCCCTTTTATCTTATCTTGGCATCTGTGCCACACTTATTGCTCACCTGAAGCAGATGTACTGCATGACAGAACTTGGGAATGGTGAGAACCAATGGGAAAAAACCTTTGGACATTCTGACCAGGACCTACATTCATAATAAACAGCCACCACTAGCAATTTATAATCCCAAGGGTATCGAGGAATCAGAGATAACATTTCTTATAAAAAGTGAACCATTTTCCATTTTGTCTATTATCCCTGAGACATTTATCGCAACAGAGAATTGTTTTGCTCTGCCTTTTGTTCCATGGCGGTATCTGTAAAGTCATTCCTAAATATCATGCTAAAGACTGAACAACATAAGGCTTTCAAGAATTCAAATCAACTAGTGCACCAAACACAAGACAACACAGGAGCTCCTTCAGAGATTACCTATGCTGTTTAAAGCCCTCTGGATTATGTATTGTTTTACAATCCTGATCCAGGGTCTTTGTTTTACTACATGACTTTGTACCAATTATTTCATCTCCCATTTCCTGTGAAAGAGGCATGTGAGTATCTAGGCTGCTTTTAGGAGTCCTGGTATGGTGCTGTATGAAGGAAGGATAAGCCCTGGACCTCAAGGCTAGTGATTCAAACTCATCACTCCCCAGAAATGCGTCAGGGTACTTAACAACAACAACAGGTTGCTTTTAAAACCACTACTGCCCTGGTAGCATAATGGATTACAAGCTGGGCTGCTAACTGCAAGGGCAGTAGTTTGAATCTACCAGTTGCTCCGCAGAGAAAGAGGCGGCTTTCTGCTCCGTAAAAGATATACATCCTTAGAAGTCGGAACTGACCTGATGGCACACAATCACTGCAGATTATATAATTAAATTACTGTTTACCTAGCTATATAACTCATGAAAAGGAGTTTGACAAACATTATCAGAACTAGTTGTGTGACGGTGAACAAGTACACACTGCCTTAAGGTTCAGTTTCCTTAGTTATAAACTAGAAATAAATAATAATAGTCATTTTATAAATAAATTCAATGACTAAACAAGGGCAAACTAAATACCTAGCATGTTACCTGGTAATGAAGAAATACAAACATCCCTCCAGACTCTTCACAGCCACTAATTCAAGGCAACTCTGGGTTTCCGTTAGCTTTGCTTTCAAGTGAGGGGTAGGCCTTCAGGTTCTTTCTAGAACTACAATTGAGATCTTATATATTGCTGGTTGTTATGAAGCAAAAATAGGATTACTAAAAGGTCAGAAAATGTGTCACACTATGACAGGAAGTGAGTTTTTCTCATTTCTGGATTTTCTCCTCAGAGGTGGTAGCTCACCAACACCAACTTTCCACGGCAGCCTGGCTATTGTGCCCAGTTTCCTGGCACTATAAAGGGAACAAACTAGGAACACCAGGACCCAGGAGCCAGAGAGGGGTTTCTCAGGACCCCAGGAACTCCCTACTTTAGCAGTCACTGTCCTCAAGACTGGCCCCACTATACTGTGTCTTATCCTTGCATTATGGAGGCAACGTATTTGTATTGCTACCACAGACCCTCAAACAAGACCTATGTCTTAGCCTTTCATTAAAGCAACTTTCCTGCATTATCCACTTCAGACACGCAAATAAAATCTTTACTTGCTGTTGATCAAGACTAGAAATAATGATGCTTCTCCCCCTCCAGATTTGGCTCCTCTCATAAATAAAAAACAAACCCTATTGTTTTCTTCCACCTCAGATTACACATCTCTCTCGTCCAGTGCTTACCATATAGCACCACACCAGGAACTAGAGGGAGCAAGTTCTGAGAGATCTGGAATTATATTTTATTCTTAATTTTTTTTTTTTCTCTAAATAGCTGAATCTACTACTATAATCCCAAAAGTTACTGAAGTAATGCTGGGACTACATCTTTATGGAGTCCAAGATCAGTAATTCAAACCCACCTGCCACTCCTCAGAAACCCTATACAGTGTCGCTAGAAGTCGGAACCGACAATTAAAGGTATAACACTTTTTTTTTTAAGTGATGCCCAGGGCCAGCAATTGAAGACAACTACTTTTTCTACCGTAGCATTAACTTTCTAAGCAGTTTCCACTAGCAGTCCAGTGCTTATCCTAGGTTGGTGTTTCAAACACACCAGGAAACCTGCTCTTCGGAAACTCTATATAGGGTCACTATGGGCTGGGATCCACTCACCAGCACTTAAACAACACCTGTACTAGAGCCATGATTCTTAAACCAGGTGCACTGTAGGCCAGGGTTATGCAAAGGCACAAAGTAAACAAGATGCATCTTCCTAGAGATCCATCTGAAAACATTTTCTTATACAAACACTTTGAGAAGTGAAAGCAAAATCCACATCGAATTTTTAAAATAAAATAGAAGTGGCAAGGCACAGTTTCAAAATTCAAGGCTTTGTCCCAAATTGTTAGATGTTTTAAAGTTCCCTGTTCTTTCTGAGGTTCTTGCCAAAGCCAAGAAATCCAAGAAGCCCTGGACTCTTATATGCCCTACTTTCTGAGACCGAAAGCACTCCGTCAGGTGACAATGATCACAAATCATTTCTAGATGGAAAAACAAGCTAAACTTGTCCAAACTATTCAGAAAGTAGGAAAAGTAGCTGTCTTCAATTGTTGGCCCTGGGCATCACATATTTACACTTTTAAAGAAAAGCGTTATACTTTTAAAAAGTTTGGTGGGGTTTTTTTGGTGTTTTGTTTTGTTTTGTTTTGAAGCCTAGTAACATGTACCGTACCTTGCTAGGACCAAGAGATACTTTAACCGCTTCTTGAAATGGAGCTCCATTATCAAAGCGCCCTCTTTTCCCACCCCTCCTTTTTCCTTCCTTGGTTACTTCAACGACTCAGCAGAAAACACTTAACAGCTCCTTGTAAACAAATTAGAAGTACTTCTCTTTGGCAGTTTCTCACTGATGTCTTAGGCACACACCTGAAGCAGGATTCCCGGGCCCTTTAGAAGGTCAGATAGCCAGCCGGAGATATGATTGTGCAAACACCACTTCAGACTTCCCTTCAGAATGGGGCTTCCGCACTCCCCTTGAAGGGCCTCCAGTAGTTCAGAACTTTCTGAACTTTTCTCCATTCAGCAGCCTTCAAGGCACTTAGCCAACCTTGTCCCACAGGAGGCGAGAAGTGGCAGGGTAAACACTTTGTAAGGGGTAAAGGACCAACTCTTACTTATTAAAAGTCTTTTCAAGACCCAGGGACAGCTCTAGGAGAGAGAAGGGGAGGAGGGCAGGCAGACAGACACACACACCGACGCCTGGAACCGAGGTACCGCGCTCACCTTGGCTGACGTCTCTCCAAACAGAGGTCTGTTGTCCAGTCCACTGGTACCGTAGGTCCTGGTATTAAAGTCCTCCATTTTTGTGATTTCTCACTCGTTCCAAGCAACTCAAAACCAGGCCAGCATTACCTCCGGTGTCTCAGGTTCACGACTCCAAACGCCTATTTATCTAGCACTCATACCGGGAGCCCCAGGTCTGGTTAGGGGAAGTCCGCTGTCGGAGGCAGGTGGGGCTCAGGCCCAGGGGACCAGATCGCACCGCCCAAGCCCAGCTCTCCTCCTCATCTTGAGCAGCTGCCGCAGGAAGTGAAAGGAAACACACACCTCGTGGCCGACTCTTGGCAGGGCGCCCCCGCCCGGACATCTCCCACTTCCCCAAATCTCAGCGCTCTACTCTCCTTCCGGCTACACTTTACATAGCAAATCGGTTACCCACTGCCCCCGGGTCAACGCACACCTACCCCACCCCCTATTTCCTTTACACAAGAATTTCCCGTTTTTCTACAGTGAGTATGTATGCTTTCATGCTTAGAAAGACAAAAAAAGTTCTAATGGACGAACTGATTACATGTCACTCTCGAAGCCCTCGCCACATTCCCACCACCCCAATTCTCGAGCGGCTGGAGAAGCGAAATTGACTGAGTGGAGTGGAGCTGAGCGCTCCGCAGAACCCAACCGCAACGCTGCGGGTTCCGGTGGCAGCAGTGGCCGCACCAGGCATCCTGGATCCTCTCTCCTGCGTTGCATCTACCCGAGGGTCGGCTGAGTAGGAACCACTGCCTGAGCAGAGTGAGCGGGAGAGAATCCCTGCTCCGCCTGGCACAGATTGGCCGCCCTCCCAGAAAGCGCCCGGCACCCGCAGGCCAAACCTCGGCGTCCCCTGCTGCCGGCAAGCTGGAAAGTTCTGGCCTCAGGGTAACCGGTCCCCAGTCTACACCCCGCCGAACTCAGAGGCACAGAGGCGCTGGCGAAACGTAGTACAGGAAGAGATCTCCAGCACTGGCTGTAAGCTGCAGATCCCCAACCCGCTCCCACGGCCACTGTCGCAAACCGGCTTGGCCCGCCCAGGCCACGTCAATGCCGAGGCCGCCAATCCCGCGGGCCGAGGCGCCGCATTGGCTGCGGATCTTTATATCTTGAAGCTCCAGTTTATTCCCCGTGGAGCAACAAATCTCAGCGGCTGCATATTTCTCAACATCTTAATAATTATGACCCACGTGGCCAAAGAACACTTTTGAAGATCCCTTTGCAAGTTGTTGAAAGCACCTTAAAAACAACAAAACCACTGTCTTTGCACCTAGTGCGGGACAAGGGTCATTGGTAATTTTGACTTGGAGTTATTTGTAAATTTGTCTTGTTTTGCCCTGTGATAAGGATCCTAGGTTGTTTCCAGAAACAGTTGGAGGTTACATGTGTTAGGGACTTCTTTGACATGTCAGTACATCTTGCTGGTGATGGTATTGACTAAGCATATTAAAACCCATGAGAAGTGCTTAATGTGTCCACTTCTGGGTTTTATGGGTAGAGGACTGGAGGTGGAGGCCATGAAAGGTAAAATAGTGTCACTTGCTACATTGGGATTATTTATAAGTATTCTGAAACAAATGCAACCACACTAGATTCCCAGGACATTATATCACCTAGATAAAAGAGTTGTTGTGGGTAAATGCACTGGACTGCAAGATTGGAGGTTCAAGCTCACCAGCTGTTCATTGGAAACCATATACAAGGTCGCTATGAGTTGGAACCGACTCAACGGCACTTAACAACAACAACATATAAAAGAGAACTCTGAAAAGGTTTGTGAGGAGGGAGAAGGTCTAAAATGCACCCTTCTGATCACAAAGCAGTATTCCACAAGTCACTATATAGATGGACTAAGACCTGCATAACTATAGATATGGAATTTGCCACACTGAGTAGAATTAGCTAGGGTGCATATGTGGTCTACCTGTTATGCTTATTTCTACATGATCTATTTTTAAGGATTTTTCTATAACAGGAATGCTTCACTATCCTGCACCCTGTTCTATTAGGTTGATTTGTCCAAATAACTTCATTCACTAGCATTCATTCACATTCAACATATGCTTGAGAAACCTGCATGTAGCAGGCATTACCACACAGTTATATAATAGATTGGTATGGGTTAGTTGGGAGCGCTGTAGTTCCATACATAAGCAATGGATTGTGAATCACAAGGTTGGCGATGCAAGCCCACCACCAACTACTCCAAAAGAGAATGATGAGGCTTTCTGCACCCGCAAAGATTTAAAGCATTTGAAGCCTATAAAAGGTTGCTATGACTTGGAACCAACTTGACAGCACTCAACAACCATCTTAAAGCTTAAGCCTACTGAATGATACAAGTATGTGATTAAAATCTAAAGACGGGAAAATGTGCAATGGGTAAGAGAAAAAGCTTTGGGGTTGTTCAAATCTGCTCTCCCTCAAGCCTTGATGTCAGTATCTGTAAACTCTGTGATCTTGACCACATATCTAACCTCACTGGAACCTCAGCTCCATTATATGCAAGAAGTGTTGATAAAGGTACAAGCTACAGAATAATTAAAAAAATGGATTTCATTCAAAATTAAAAACACCAAAGGACATTATTAAGAAGGTGAAGAGACAAGCTTCAGAATAGTAGAAAGTATTTGCAAATTATACATACATGATAAAAGTCTAATTTTCAGAATATATAAAGAACTCATAAAACTCAGCAACAGATTATAAGCAAATCAATTTAAAAATGTACAAAGGACTTGAATAGGTATTTCCCCAAGGAGACAGACCAGCGGTGAACAATACATGAAAAGATGCTCAACATTCATTAGGAAAATCCACTACCACTGTATACTTACTGGGTGTGTTTTATCATAGCACTCTCACAAGATAGGCTATAGTTTTTTTTTTAACAAATAAAAATTTTGTTGTTGTTGTCAGGTGCCATCGAGTTGGAACCGACTCATAAAGACCCCATGCACAGCAGAACGAGACAATGTCCGATCCTGTGCCAACCTCACTACCGCCGCCACACTTGATGCCATCCAAGATGCCACCTGGCCAATCCATCTCATTAGGGGTCTTCCCCTTTTTCTCTGACCCTCCACCTTACCCAGCATGACATCCTTCTCCAGCGACTGTTTCCTCTGGAAGATACGTCCAAAGTATGAGAGATGACACTTAGCCATCCTGGCCTCCAAGGAGCACTCTGGCTGCACTTCTTCCAAAACAGATCTATTGGTTCTTTTGGCAGTCCATGGCACTTTCAGTATTCTCCTCCAACACCACAACTCAAAGCCATCAATTCTTCTACAATCCTCCTTATTCACTGTCCAGCTTTCACATCCATATGAGGCTATTGAAAACACAATGGCCTGGGTCAGGCGCACCTTAGTCCTCAAGCTGACATCTCTGCTCCTCAACACTTTAAAAAGTTCAAATACAAATGAGTTATCAAATATGTGTACAAAATGGATCTTTGTATACTGGTACCAATAAAAAAGTATAGTCACTGTGGGAAAAAATCTGGTGGTTCCTCCAAAGTTAAACATAGAATTATCATGTTGTTATTTGGTGCTGTCTAGTTGATTCCAACTAACAGAGACCCTACATACTTATATCTGTGGAAAGAGACATGGAAAAGCTCTATGTCATCAGTCAAAACAAGGCCAGGGGCAGACTGTGAAACAAACCATCAATTGCTCATACACAAGATTAGGCTGAAGCTGAAGAAAATTAAAACAAGTCCATGAAAGCCAAAATATGACCTTGAATATATTCTACCTGAATTTAAAAAGCATCTCAAGACAAGATTTGATTTGACACTAAAGACTGAAAACCAGAAGAATTATGGGATGACATTGAGAACATCATACAGGAGGAAAGCAAAAGGTCATTAAGAAGACAAGAAAGAAGGAAAAGATCAAAATGGATGTCAGAAGACACTCTGAAACTTGCTCTCCAGCATAACATTGCTAAAGCAAATGAAGAAATGAGAGGTAAAAGCGCTGAATGGAAAATTTTAAAAGGCAGCTCAAGAAGACAAAGTCAAAATTATAATGATATTTGCAAAGACCTGAATTTAGAAAGCCAAAAGGAAAAACCATGCTCAGCATTTATCAAAGTGAAGAACTGAAAAATTCAAGTCTCAATTGCAATATTGATGGATTCTATGGGCAAAATGTTGAATGATGCAGAAATCATCAAAAGTAGATGGAAAGTCGGATTGGTAAACACACGCATCACCGTTGGGGAGAAATGGGGTAAAGGCAGCAATGAAGCAGCAAGCTAAGCCTCACAAAATTCAGAGGGCTTCTGTGGACCCGGTTGGGGACCTGGTTGGCAAGCAGTGTGAGGAGACCCGAGGACTCCTGGGCCCAGAGTCAGTGACGTGGCCACGGAGGACTCAAGAGGAGAATGGAGCTACCGGCTGATGGGAAGAGAGGGCATGTGCACAAGAACACCCACACTTGCAGATGACACCCACATGACCAGGACTGGTTGACTGGATGATCAGAGGTCAACCAGGAGAAGAAAGAAGGGGTGGGGGGGAGAAGATTGAGCTGATCCAAGCTGATGAACTTGACCTATGCATACGAATGCAGTGACACAAAAGAGGCAACAAATCCTTACAGCAAGAAACATTCCC